GTAGGAATCTAATGCGTGGTAATCCAACGCGTAGTAATCCAGCATGTGGATAACCAACGCGTAGTAATCCAACGCGTGGATATTCGATGCGTAGTAGTCCAATGCGTAATAATCCTCGCGCTCTGATTGGTGCGCGTTTTTCCTTAATAATTCAAAAACAAAGCTTCAAACCCCATTTTTGCAAAGGGAAATCTTATTCAGAATCGCGTCAGCTACCCCCCATTTCAGGGACCTACACTTGTTGTGAGACACCCTGTATAACATCTGATATAAGTCCAAATACTTATGAACGATAGTGTACTGGTTCTTCATTATCTCTTGTTCAACTTCTACTTTGGTTTCTTCGATGTTGCCTGCGTCGCATAGTTGATCTTGTACCGTTCATTTCCGCTCTATCCAGTCGGGTTTTCTGTTTTCCCTGTATGTAATTTTGTTTTTGCATATGGCACAAAACCTGCACAAACCTGTTGTACTTCTTGTAGAAATCTTTGTTGTTGTCGATGATGTTTGCTAGGGGAATGTCGGGCAAAAATCGAACAATTAAGTTCATCTGGAGTAATCGAAAGTAAGTTTTATATTGTAATCATCGCAAAATGCAAATACAGTAAATACATTTTAACAAGGTTTAATACATTTTAAATTATATCGACAACTTTCGTTTAATAATTTAAAGCTTAGGTGCAAACATTGTGAGTTTTTTAAGAACTGTTGATTGAATATTAAAGATTTGATATGTGTTTCTATTTTTTATTGTATGAAGAGTAAATATACTGAAGGATGAACTTGAGAAATAGTATTTTATTAGAAAAAATTGGATTTGCAATGACAAAATTATATAAATTTATTTTTGCTTATGGAGTTCGCTATGTAGAAACAATTAAATTTTTTAATTTGCATAACAAGTAAATTTTATAATTTATATAACAAGTGAATTTTTAAGTTTTGCACAACAGGTGAATTTTACGTTTGCAGTTAACAAATAGTTAATTCAAATGAAGCTGATTTTAAAATTCTACTTTAATAAGTTACATTAAATTTGTGTTATTCTTGTCCTACAAAGGATTTGCCAACAAACATTTTCCGTTAAAGAAATAACCAACAGAAATTGAATTACATTATCCAAAAATAAATTACGGGATATTGTATTTAAAATAATATTGTGAAAGAAGTAAGAGATTCATGTGAGCTCTCTATTCGCAAATATTTCTTAACTATCTCTTCTAGATCGCTATTTACAGCACAACTCGGTTTCAATCGTCGGAAAAAGAATTGTATTACAGACGGAAGGA